TAGGTGCGATATAATATACATCCAAAACGAGGCCCTGTACTTAAGGACTGTATATACAGAATTTGTAGGTGCGATATAATATACATCCAAAACGAGGCCCTGTACTTAAGGACTGTATATACAGAATTTGTAGGGCGATATAATATACATCCAAAACGAGGCCCTGTACTTAAGGACTGTATATACAGAATTTGTAGGTGCGATATAATATACATCCAAAACGAGGCCCTGTACTTAAGGACTGTATATACAGAATTTGTAGGTGCGATATAATATACATCCAAAACGAGGCCCTGTACTTAAGGACTGTACGAGGACAGAAAGAATTTACAAACTGTACATGTGAATCGTGATTAGAATAGATAATTTTATTAATATTGGCGGGAAATCAAATATCTTGTTTTGTAAATGAAAAAATGTTCATTATATGTGCGTAAGTTCTAACTTTGAGCGATTTCGCTGCTGATAAACTATTTCAATGTACGACTAAATAATAGCAGTTTACAAATTTACTTTAGTGTATTTTCATTTTTCTACAAGCCTATTTTTATTACTTTTGCTCAAAACAACAACAAAATACTTATTTTACTTTACATCCTGAGCATTTAAAGCAGAAACAACCGTCAGTATCACGCATTTTTTAAAGCAGAAACAACCGTCACTATCACGCATTTTTTTAAAGCAGAAACAACTGTCAGTATCACGCATTTTTTTAAAGCAGAAACAACCGTCAGTATCACGCATTTTTTAAAAGCAGAAACAACCGTCAGTATCACGCAAAATGCTTACTTATAAAAGTCTGCTTCATCTTTTCAGTGTGCACCTCGCCATCCGTAATGATTCAGCGGTAAGCTTGAGGACTTAAAACGTTAAAATTCGGGTTCGAGTCCTGTGGTTGGCACAGCATAGATAGGTTAATGTGCAATTTTGCAACGCACAAATAAACAATTTTATAAATTGCTTTCTATGGTATACAACAAGGTTTTTGTAATCGAACCGAAAACTTTAAATAGAAGGTCTATACATATATATTTTGGGCGTTTATTTCTAGATATTTTTATTTACCCCTTTGGCCGGATGCAGTATTTATGACGTTCTCCTTGAAATTAATCCAAGAGGAAAAAATATATATATATAAGAAATATTATAATTGTATTTCAAGAGTTATGCAGTTTTTTTCAATGTAAGATATCGTGAACGTTGCGCTTTAAGCTGTGCTGTAGCTTGCTTAGCTACACTGGTTCTCTGTTATCATTAACTTGTATAATTTACTTTTATTTTATATCACGATTTAATAATAGGGAATAGAAGTTGACTCTGATCCAGATTGTAAGCTTCTGACGCAACCAGAGCTGGATATTATATGCATTTGTCTTCCTCGGCGTTTCACATAATCAGACTTTGATAATAGCTACTGGTGTGGTCAGGGTTTTATTTAGTCAATCAGTGTTTGGCATACCAACACATATCGCATGGTATTAACGCAACAGGCGTTGAGAAACAGTATGGAGTTTATGTTTCTAAGAGATGATCCAAAAAGTATTAACTGCGGTGATCCAAACATCTCAATCTTAAGTAGATTTTCTACATTTGTCAAAATAACGTTAAGTAAATTGTAGAATCTTAGTTTCAAGATATTATTCTTAACTGCTGGTCACGGCAAGCTACCTATATATAGATCAGAACAAAAACCTAATACTTATTAAGATCGAACTAAGAATACAAAATGTCATAGAACAAGATTTTATATTAGTGAGAATACATTGATTCAACAGTTGATTGTCCTTTCTGTTTGATTTGTTGTCCATATTTTTATCTTTTTGGTTTGTTTGTTTGTTTTTAATTATGCACAAAGCTACACAAGGGCTGTCTGTGCTCTGCCCACCACGGGTATCGAAACCCAATTTCTAGCGTTGTAAGTCCGCAGACATACCGCTGTGTCACTGGGGGGCATCTTTTTGGTGACTTGCATCACTTCTGTTTCACGTGCTGCACATTTTAATCCTCATCAGTAGATTGGTGCATTATGTATAGGTTAGTGTACATTTGGAAGTTAATAAATGTGTTTACAAAATATGATTCTATTAGAACAGAAGTTGATATATACATAAGAACGGTTTAGCCTGAATATGGTACATTCATGAATATTTATAGTACAGATGCGAGTTTGTTAAGCTAAAACTACCGTATTAATGTTTTCCAGTACAGTGCAAACTTGGGCGCATTAAACAAGTACCTTTTTTAATGGATTTTGCATAAAACGTAATTTTGTCTTACAGTTACACCCGCTACTCATCTTCAATAACATTTTCCAAGGTTTAAATATATCAATAAAGTATCATTTCCCATCCAATAATGTAGTAGGAATTCTCACATAGTTTAGATTTCTTTTATTCACGTATAAAAGATAAGATGGCACCCTTCCTATATTGTTAGAATGTTTTCTAGAAGAGTGAAAACGGGGTTAAATTATGAGAGTTATCCTTACATTTTTGACCAAATGACATTGGAAGATATATTTGTAAGAACTTTGTAAATTCATTATACAGTCAATACGTTTCATATATTAAAAAAAAACAATCTGAAGATGGCTTTGAATTTAACAAAATTTCTTTTAATTAAAGGGGTAGCTCTTTTCGTTGTTATCAAAGTCACATTAATGAATTTATGAACCTTGTTTTTGTTTTCCACAGGTTAAACTGTGCATTAATACAATCAGTCATTCATCAAGTGGCACAGTATTAAAACAAAACTCCTCTTTGTTGGAAATCGTGATCCTTAACAGCAGAAGTTGAGTAGTACAAACACATATATGTACACACACCCATTTCATGCATGTACAGCGATGAAGACTCAAATAGACGTATTGTATAGCTTAACAAGGTTGTGAACTTTAGAAATATATAAAAATATTAAAGTAACAATAAAAACTATGAGGAAAAAAAGCATACGAAATACTACACGAATGTCACCCTTTATCGTTTAAAAATAAACTACACTAAAACTGATAGTTTACACTGTGGTATATGTTGTGTCATCCCTTCAGAAGGTGCCATACTAGGTTAAATCATATAAAAGTACAGGCAATCATACTGTACCAAACAGTAGTATAGTTTAACTCCATCTATGGCCACCAGGACTGAAAAAGAGCACGATAAGGATATTTTGGCTGGTCAAAAATCCTCCATGCGGCAAAACCCCATGCATCATTACGGCCTTTTTTATATTTATGTTCGCTGCTTGTTCTAGCTGAAACAACTAATAATAAAGAACCTAAGTATTCCCTAATTGTTTCTTGTTTAACTTAACCTTTGACATTACATCTTTACATGATTTGCCTTCATAGATAATTTGGCTCTTTTTTTTTTGGATAACATATCTGTGTATGACTGACCTTTTTATTTCACCATAGTTGTTTTGTTCAGGTAAAATGTTTTTATCCGATATTATAACTTTTATTACTTTATAGGTGTTAGGAAGGTGAATAAGTTTACACTTTATGAAACAGTAATTTATATATCTAGATATTTTGTAAACACAGGCGAAAGATTTTTTATTTACAAGTTACAGGTTTTGCAGTAATGAAGATTATTTTTAGAACAGGTACGACGTTTCGATCATTTACATTCAACAATCTGATTCAGATACTAAAACCTTCTTCACCGTTTAAACTTGTATACGTGAGAATGATCGAAACGTCGTACCTGTTCTAAAAATAAATAATCTTCCATACTGTAAAACGTGTAACTTGTAATAAAATTTAACTTAATCGGTATGCAAACTCAAAACGAAACCAGCATTTTTTTTTCTCTGTAAAATACTAAATGTTTTTCATGCAAAAGTGATTCATTTTTTTTGTTACATATATTATTTATTTAAAACTATTTTCTAAAATAAAGGAGCTTTATATTGGTCTAGATTAAAACCTGAGTACACTGTGTTAGTCAATTTCAGCATTTTAATTATGACACTGGAAAACAGCAAGAAAAGAAACGACGAGAATATAATATTTTTAACACTTTTTAGATGCTTATTTCTCCCAGGGGGTTAGGGAGCTCGAACCCGCAATCTGCGGGTCGCGGGTTCGAATCCCCGTCCTACCAAACATGCTTGCTTTTTCAGCCGTGGGGACGTTATAATGTGACCTTCAATCCTACTATTCGTTGGTAAAAGAGTAGCCCAAGAGTTGGCGGTGGGTGGTGCTGACTAGCTGCCTTCCCTCTAGTCTTACACTGCTAAATTAGGGACGGCTAGCGCAGATAGCCCTCGTGTAGCTCTGCGCGAAATTCAAAAAACAAACTTATTTCTCTTAATCAATAACAGATATAATACATTTTAATATTGCCCCCAGTGGCACAGCGGTATGTCTGTGGACTTACAACGCTAGAATCTGGGTTTTGATACCCATGGTGGACAGAGCACGGATAGCACATTGTGTAGCTTTGTGCTCAATTACAAACAAACAACATTTTAATATTTTATTTTAAATGATAGTTTAGATGAAGTGGGATCCGAACCACAGCTGTTAGAAGAAATTATCAATTCAGATGTAGATCGTCTTAGACCACTACGCTGTTCACTTATTTTATGCTCTTTGCCTGCACCGAGATCTTTAAATCATCAGTTTAATCTAGCGGCTATGGAGAGCAGGTCACCATTAAAAGTATCCAACAAGTATTTTTCATAGAATATTCATACATATGCACAACAGTTATCAACGATATGTATTTCAGACTAATATCTACCAGTGAAATTTTTTCGTACAGATCCTCCTTTATATTTTATCTGTTCAACGTGAAGAAATACAACGTACCTATTTTTGACTGGCTATTTCTTTTCATTTAAAACAGATATGAAGCTGGTTTTTTTTACGTGATGTAAAAGTTATTACATCAGTTCATAAATATAAAAATAGTGGCATTCCAGTATTTGGAACTATTATAAAAAAAATATCACAAATTTTACCGAGTCTTCAGTTCAGTGTAAACAATAGCGTCACAGCAGTGTTACTTCGCCTCCCTACTTTGCTGGAGTAGCTACTGTACATGATCTAGCTCCCATTACACGTGAGTACTGTTTTCGTATGTATAGCTATGTGTTTCCATAATTATTTCCATCACAGTTAGATGTGTGTATTTCTTTTCAATGTACCAATTGCTTTCTTCAGTTGCTACTTAAGTTCAAGCATGTGACGTTCGTCTGTTGATTGTTTTGGTGTAAACTTTACCCCACGTCTACTGAAGCGTACATGTTGAGTGGTTTTTGTACAGTTGATTGGTATTGCATCACTATTCCAGGAGATTGAAGATGATATTTCTCCAGGTGGCTCGGCGGTAAGCTTGAGGGCTTATGACGCTAAAATTCAGGTTTCGATCCCATTGGTGAGTTTAGTGCAGATAGCCCATTGTTCAGCTTTGCGCCTAACAACAAATAGCAAATCCCTACTCACTTTCTGCTTTCACGTTAGTTTCCTGGTTTTCAGTTATAGAATATAGCCGGTACATTTCAACACTTGCCAACGGTTAACACGCGTTAGAAAAGATAGTTGTATGCAAGAGGTGACCTTAAGTATTTTACACAAGATACTTAACACTGTGTTTATAGAAAGTGTAATCTTGACCTTCAAAATGATCGACCTGTTTTTATGCTAAATTCAAGTGGTAGGGTCCACGTATTACACCACGTTAAGTAATTCTGTATTTTTGCCTGCTTCAGCACTAAATGTAAAGACAAACTATTGAAAGAAATTACTCATCTTCATTTGAGAAATACTAGAGAATCCCAGCGGTAATTACTGAGATTAATAGGAATATTAATGCTATATTTATTGATCTTTATATGTGACTCATATGCTGTTAGGGGGCTCTATTATCAACAAGGTCCTGAACTCATAAGCAATTTTCACATAAATAGTTCAGAGAAATGTCTTGAAAAAGTCAATATAGACACTATCAGTAATTCTAGGGTTAAGATTTGATAATGAAGTGCCATACTTTTACGAAATACCTTATACTTATAACCCAGTCAAAATATTATCTTCGTACAATCTTATGAATTGTTTTATACGCCAGTATATGTTATATATATAAGTATATGTTGATATTTAAAACAGGTGAATTGTGATTTCCGTAATATTTTGTTGCTATATACATTCTAAACATTCTTGTTTCACGAAAACAATAGAAACATTATTGATTGATTTGTTTTTGTTTATTTTATCGAACCATGGATTTTAGCGTTGTAAGTTCGTGAACTTGCCGATGACCCACCGGAGGACTTTTAACACAAATACAACAACGTATTATCTAAACATTGAATGCCCTCTACTAATTCATCTTTACTCCATGAATTATGTAATTGAATTAGAACACACATACCACTTTTAAATAATTATATTCAAATCTTATAATCTCATATTGAAGTTGACTTAAAATTGGTTTACCTTCTTTCAGGCTAGCTTTATGTAATCGTATTCATAGCTCTTACAATTATATTTCTTACTTCATTTTCCCAATGAAAACAATAATATAATTGAAGTCTAATCATAATAGTTTAATATATATATATTATATCGTTATTCTTATCTGAAAAATGCATTTCATATGAGTATATCAAACATATATGATCAAGGATAAGGTTGTGTATAAAAAGGAACCATAGCAACACGTATAAGATCGTGAGTTGAGCAAAGTATAAATTAAGGGAATAACTTTTTATCATCCACCGAAGCATACATTGCTTCCTCGTTCCTTCTTCTTATTTTCTTTTTGTCTAAAATTACAAAATTCGCAACACAATAAATGTAAGCTATTGAAACTTAGCAAGGTCAACCCTTGTTTGTTTCTGTGAAATACACATACATACATAATAAATCAAGTTTGCAAGTAGTGATCGTCAACTTTGTACTTGAAAATTGTTTAATTTAAATAATTAAAACTTAGCAAGGTCAACCCTTGTTTGTTTCTGTGAAATATATATACATATACATACATAATAAATCAAGTTTGCAAGTAGTGATCGTCAACTTTGTACGTGAAAATTGTTTAATTTAAATAAACTATAATATCAGGCATTTGGTGCAAGAAATAAAAAAAAAAACAACATGCGAGTCAGAAACGTGTAGTATTTTCGGAAATTGAGGGGGAGGGGATTTCTGTTAGTGCCAAATAATTTCGACGTGCTGCAATAATATCGGTCTAATATATCGTTGTGGCCCATGTGACGTAATAAAGTTTTGGACATTGCTGTGCTTTATACCATCGTACAAGCAGAAATCCGAACTGGACATTAATGAGTCTGAAATATTTTAAAATAGAACACAGAGCAAAGGTAGGTAACGAGTTAGCATGGACAACGAATTTGTCTTTGTCTTTGCTATGTACTTAATGAGGCTTACTTCAATACAGTCCACTTACTGCAGCACAGACATCTGTAATCTCATCAGTAAATGAAGTTTTGGCATTTGGCTTTCTTTCAAATTATTATTAGCGAAACAAAATTTTTAGTTTTAGCATAAATTACTTGGTATGTGCAGTTGTGTGTGTGTGTGTTAGGAACCATACTGCAAATTAGGTAAGGAATCGATTAAAATTTTCTTTACAATTTTCTTCAGTCTTTTTTTTTCTTTTATTTTCTTAAGATGTGCAACTATGCATATTATTACATTAATTTACTGGACAGTTAAATGAGCGTGGAATTTTTAACTTAACTATTCAAAACAAAGAAATATAAACTATTTTAGAATGCACATGATTAACAGATGAGAAATAAAAAAGTCTCACTAGTATCTCAGTTCTGTTCGAAAAGAGTAGACTTGTTATTTTCTTAGTGCAAAACTAAACAATGGACTATCCTCATTCTGTCCACCGCGGGGATTCGAACTTCGTATTGTTAGAGTGTAGTGCAAATCCGTAAAGAGTAGGCTTAACATATATGCATAAATATATGTATGAAGACTTATGCGCATGGGCATTCTTACATGCTTAAGTGTAGCACATATACGTGTATGTACTTTAACCGTATCAATAATAGAGAAGTTCATATTTATATTGTAATATAATAATAATAAGCATTCGTAACGTAGGACGCTTCTGAGCGTATACACAAGTTCTTTCTATATTAAGAAAATATGATAATTCCGGAACATAAACGCAACGTTAAGGTTTAAAGCTATATTAAATAAAATCTGTGAAGGCTGGATGGTTGTCGTAAAGCCTAAGAGTCATTAATAATTGTCATATAATAACTTAAGACGATGGGATTCCCTTCCAACAACTAAAAAATTACCTGACTTTTTTTTTTGTTTTTCCATTTATTTTGGATATTAGTTTCCGTTCATTTCAGTAGTTTGTATTAAGTTTTGTCTATAAGTTTGTGTTACTTTAACCAAAAAAATTGGTGCAATGTTTAAATTAAGTGATACAGTATAAAAAGTAAAAAATTAAAGTTTACTTATTTTGTTCTATTAAATTACGTAGGTTGGAAATAATACTGCTATAGCTGGTGCCTGTGATAATGCGTTTTTGTTTTTGTAATAATATTATGGTCAACAAAAAAAGTCGATATTTTTTTGCCATGATCTATGTATACACTTTGTAATGAGCTGCTGCTTCTAGCTTTTAAAAATGATCTTGAATTCATCATTTCGTTTGTAAACTAATGTATAATATTGCTTCTGGCAGAGATAAAACAGATCACGTACTCCTTTGGCACCGACATAATAAGTTTTGAAATTCGCCCTTGATGGTCTTACGCCTTTCCTAATGACAGTATACGTGTGTATGCAATATAGGGTTTTGTTTATTCTCTAGACGGTTACCGAGACTAGGGCACCCCACAACTACGCTTTGTAATTAATGATAGAATCATTATGCTCATAATCTTATTTGCTGCCACCCCTTTTATAGACCATCTCACCCCCACCTCCTCTCTCGGCTTCTTTCTCCTTGGCACCGCCATGGATAGAAATACACATCATAAGATAAGACTTGCTTTACCAGTGTTAAAGATGATCTTTTAAGGTCGTTGAACTACAGCAAGCAGCAGTTCCTATAGTAACATCCCAAGCGATTGTATGGAATACTATGTAATGTAGACTCACCAGTAACGATAATAATGTCATTTGTTCATTCACCATGTTATCATCAACTATTAAGATAAATTATAAGCACAATGGGCTAAACGGCCATATCAGAGACCCCTGTGTATCAGGCTTAGCCGCCTTTAATTTCTAACTGCTGACCAAAAAAGAGGATAAGCAAGTGACATCACCCGCCGCTTTAAGAGACTACTCTTAACCAGATAGCGGGACTGACTGTCACTCTTATAATGTACCCGCATCTGTAAGTGCGAAGCGTGTTCGGTAGCACCACGTCTTGAACCCTAAACTCTCTAATTCGATACCAAACTATTAGGTTACGTTTGGGTCCTCCTTTATTAAAGGTATTTATTTCCTTTAAATTGTACTATTTTATTTTTGTTATAAATAGTTACTTTCCTTAACTTCAATAATCTTATTTGAAATATAAAATAAGTTTGGTTTCTTGATTATTAACATTTAATCGAAAGTATTTCTTTCTCTGAAATTGTGTTTTTTTTTCTAAGATTAATTCTCATGACTAAAAACAGTTTTTTAATGAACTTATATCGTATTGGTCAATGTTTAATTACATATAGTTAGTTGGAAGGATGTTGATGCCCACGAGAGTCTTCGAAATGTTTATGTTTCTTTTTTTTTGTATTTGTCATTAATGTGATTATTTAAGTTCACGCTAATGTAATTCCTTTTTTTTTAATGTTTTTCTTCATTCTAACCTTTATTCTGTAGATTGAACTATTTATTAGACATCATGTTGTTTTTAGTTTTTTCATAAACTCAACTTTTTCAAGTCAACTTTTCCCATTCATATAAAACTCTTTCTAACATATTTATTTTCTTAAATACAGTTTTTCGTTGCCAAAGCTCATAACTTTTATCTATTATTGTAACTTCTCCTAATCAACTTTTTCGCTATGGATCTTCCGTGGTCAATGTTTTCATTATGACTTTTCTTACTCAATGCTTTTC